CCACCTCCCGCCTAAACACCCGGCATACGGACGCCACCATACGCCACTAGGCACATTCGTCCCTGCTTCCGCTCCACGGTCTGCGAGCTGAAAGCAGTCTCACATGTAGGTGCACCTCGCGCCGCAAGACCACCCCCAGACACAAGCGAGGCGCCGGTCAGCTCCAAATAGTTCAAAATCGCCAAGAACGCATAAAGATGTTGTCAGCTTTGAACTCACGCGGGTTACCCCAATAGATTTCGAGTCTATCGCCTTAACCGCTCGGCCAAGCTGTCCTAGCATCCATACAGATTCCCACACACCTACGCAAAGTTGCTTCAACCATTATACGCCAACCAAGCTTCGAACACGCCCTGGATGCCCTCACCCGACACTGAACAAGTCGTGGTTATCCGCAGCGCCACCTCCCGCCTACACACCCGCCATACGGACGCCACCATACGCCACTAGGCACATTCGTCCTTGCTTCGTCTCCACGGTCTTCGTGCTGAAAGCAGTGCCACATCTAGGTCGACCTCGCGCGGCAAGGCCACACACACACACAAGCGAGGCGCCGGTCAGCTCCAATTCGTTCAAAATCGACAAGCACGCATAAAGATGTCGACAGCTTTGAACTCACGCGGGTTACCCCAATAGATTTCGAGTCTATCGCCTTAACCGCTCGGCCAAGCTGTCCTAGCATCCATACAGACTCCCACACACCCACGCAAAGTTGCTTCAACCATTATACGCCAACCAAGCTTTGAACACGCCCTGGATGCCCTCACCCGACACTGAACAAGTCGTGGTTACCCGCAGCGCCACCTCCCGCCTACACACCCGCCATACGGACGCCACCATACGCCACTAGGCACATTCGTCCTTGCTTCGTCTCCACGGTCTTCGTGCTGAAAGCAGTGCCACATCCAGGTCGACCTCGCGCGGGAAGGGCCACACACACACACAAGCGGAGGCGGCCGGTCAGCTCCAATTCGTTTCAAAAATCGACGAAGCACGCATAAAGGTTTAGAGGACGTACGTGCGTCGCAGATCGACACAAGTGCTGAGCTGTCACAGCAGACCATGAATGATCTGTTTGGCACCCCAAGCAGCTGCAATAGCTCTGAAGTCGAGCTTTCACAGGCAGCAGTTACTCGGGCTTTTAATTTGTCGCCCGGAGAGCTTCGAGACGCAGCGACAAACCTGCCGTTTCTGTCATCTGGACCCGAGAGTGACGCTCAGTCGGGATGTTGGCGCTGCTTCCCCGCCTGACAGTCCAGTGCCCGCACAGCCTATAACTGTGCCGACCGCCCTACCTGTCACTGTGCCCGTCGCCCAACCTACACGTGAGCCTGACGCCCAACCCGTACGCAAGCACGCTTCCCAACCTGTTCGTGTGCCAGCTACGCCGACCTGTCCTGTCCTACGCCCCCGTCATCCTGTCAAGAAGGGATTGT